TCAATCCAGAAATTCTTTGCAAATAAGTCCATTGTGTAGAGCAAACATTTCTGAAGAAATTGAGACGTCTCCGAGCTGTTTACGACATTTTGTCATGGAGCAAGAATCAATTTACAAAAGGTCCTAAGGGCGTATCTTCTTGTATTTCCGTTAGTTTTGCTGCTATGGGGCTTTCCGTAAATTGAATGCTGCCCCTGATTTCAGGAGTTTTGATAGAGCCTTTGTATACACCACTTGAGATCGGAAATTCTTTCAGCTATTCAAATCTTTTTTCAAATTTATTCTAGCTATTATGATCATGCAATAATTGCAACTAGACACGCATTTATGTGTCGCCGGGAGCCAAAGGGTTAAGGTGCACGCAACTCAAATTTCAAGATGAATTTTTTATCTAGTTAAGTCATACATAGTTGGATAGAGCACGATGAGTTGAGTAAGAAAAAGTGATTTTTAACTTTTACCAAAGATGTTTTAGAGTTAGAAAATTTAAAAAACTTGAACGACCTAGTTTTTCGAAAAACCGTTAGTTTTTAATAAATTCCATTTTTCTCCATTCAGAGTTTTTTCAACCTTTCAAATGGAAGCAGACACCTAAATCTAAAGTTAGTCCGTAACTATTTTGGATTTCGCTTCCGTTCATTCTATGTCAAAAGACGCAGATTCGTACAGTGGCGGATCCAGAATTATTTTTTGGTACGTGCGGTATACGATAAAAGTGCGGTCGTTATAGAAACAAATTATTCTAAGAGAGATCTGCTGGGGAAAAACTTTTTTGGTTAAAAGGTTCGCGGGCTGAATCTGCCACTGGATTCGTAGACAGACTTTAATTTTTCATAAATCAGTAACTCTAAATAATGCGGAAAACGAATGCTGTAAACTCACTTAATTTCTTCTTTCCTCTGTAACAACTCTGAACTAAACAGAAAACAGCAGTCCATATTTTCTTTTAGATATAAGGAGTCTCTCGTTGTGACAGCTTACTTGTATTGTGGCTAAAATTAGACAACCATTTTAGTGAATTAAACCATTCATGAACTCTAAAACTAGCCGAGTTTTTTTATTCACGATAATTCATAGATTTCAGTATGTTTCAATGGAAACGCTATAATAGTCAATAAAAAGTGAAATAAGATTGGATCGACGGCTGGAGTAACTATCGATTTCTTCGTACTTAATGTATTTGCTTATATTTAAAAAAAAAAGAAAGGAAAAATCAAAAAAAACAAAACGTGACACACCTACATTTTTGTTGTAAATAATGTGAAAATAAAGACTGAAAAGAATGAAAGAAAGAGTGATAAAATGAAAAGTAAACAACTAACACATTTATTTTAATGGAGCTATTTATATACACAAAGATAAAAAGACTTTTGCATGAAAAATAGAGAAACCAACAGTGAAAGAATGAAATGAGAAGAAAAAATCGTAGTCTGATTTATTTTTTGTTTTTTGAAAAAACAGTTTCATACAACATGAATTAACACTAACAAACATCAGAATGCGCCGTTTAATGGAGAAAAGAATCGTAGGATTGTATTAAATGCTGATTGAACATACATACCAAAAACAGACGGATTTATTTAAAGTTCAATTTTTTCTAGTAATCAACACAACGCGGAAGAAGAAAAAGGATCTGTCGGTGTTGTTGATACTCATCTTTGTAAGAAAGAAGAATGAAACAAACAAACATATACAAACACACTACAAAACTATTTTGTTTCTTTTTTTCAACTCACTATAAAAAAAATCCATGTGTGCATGAAAACGAGAATATCAACAACATTTATTTTCGTATAATTTAATTCACAAAAGTCACTTCGTTTATATTATGCATATATTTTTGCTATAGAATCCGCTCCAACACTGGCTAAATAAGGTTTGGAATAATGAAATGCAACATCATGGACAGATTCATCATCTTTTTTCTGATGGGCGGTTACTTCTTGTATACAATTTTTACTATCCAAATTCCATAAACGAATTGAACGATCGTGGCCTAAACAAAAAATTGAACATTAGTGGGTATCTCAAAGACTTGTGTCACTTCTCATTTTGAGACGCTCTATCGCCTAAAATCGTAATCCACGCTTTAGGATAAAATAATTAGTTGTTAAACAAGAAATTATTTTATTAATTTAGATATTTCGATTATCTATCATGATGATGTACGTGGTTAAGCACGATCAGTTTTACAAAATAACGATGTTTGAACCTTACTTCCAGATAAAAGACATGTTTGTTGAGGATCGATTGCTAAAGAAGTAACAGCATCCAAATGAGCGACCATCGAATGTACCATTTTTCCTTTTTAAAAAAGATAGAATATGCATTTCGTAAAACTTAAAAAAATGTTTCTCATACCTGTACTACTATCAAAAAATCGAATTTTTCGATCATCGTGTGCTGTTATAATCAATGACTGAGAGGGATGACTAATGACTCTATTGATTCGGTAAGTCGAATCTGAAATTACAGATAAGAATAGTGGTTTTTATTACTTTTGGCTATTAATATCTCACGGGTGGCCCAGAATAAACGTTCCATTCAGTATTTTTTCAATATCTCGATCAAGGTTGATCGCCAAGTCTCAATCTTTTTTTAAAAATATTCCTCATTCAATTCTCTACACAAAATATGCTGAACATTTCTTTATATACTATAAGAATAAAAAATATAGAGGAAATACGAGAAAGCTTCAATATCAAGTACTAAGTTTTTCAATTTCAGTCTCTTACATTTTGTGATATAAAGGAAGAGAAAATGGCCACTTTGTAGTTCTCAAAAACCTCTAACAACTGGTTATATTCAAGATTCTTCATAGGCTCACGCGGTCGCAGGTGGATTTTTTTTTCTTTTAGCGATCTGGTCCAAAATCATCATTTCCTAACTAAAGTTTTGAGGCACTTAGGAAAATTTGTATGATTTGGTCAAAACCACACATTATGACGTAGTATTCTTATAGTATATAAAGAAATGTTCAATATATTTTGTGTATAAAATTGAATGAGGAATATTTTTAAAAAAAGACTGAGACTTGACGATCAACCTTGATCGAGATATTGAGAAAATACTGAATTTCCATTCATTTATTCTGGACCATCCGTTATTATCGTGTCTCACCTGGAAACTGAATGTCATTTTCAAGACGTAACAAGACTTTTGATGTTTCAACATCGTAGATAACAGATTTCAATCTATCATAAGATACAACAAAATGATTTGTCTCTTGTGCAAGCCAGTCGATACTTGTAGGTATTCCTTCTTCTACAATAAATATCAAAGTCTATAATTAAACAAATATTTTAATCCTGTTTCCTTTACCTAGATTAGTATTGACTGTCGACTGTAATGAATTATTGATATTTGGATCCCATAATCTGACAGTTCCATCAGCAGAACAGGATAATAATTTTTGTCCACAAATTGCTAAGCGCCATACAGCGTCCGTATGTCCTTCTAATACTTTGTATAATACGTTTGCATCTGAAATGGAAAAACTAACAAAAATTAACAATTTGACTAAAGAAACAGGCATAGTAAAATAAAAACAAGCAAGTGGATGCGTGTAAAAGCTCATTCTATTGTAATATCTGTCGATATCTGTTCTATAACAGAGAAAATGTATTTGAGCAATACAACACTATTTGACTTTGTTGTCTATTGTCATCAAAGAAAAAACCGTACCGTATGCATCATATGGATCTATATCTGAATTTGGTATGTTCCATACAACAATCATTGAGTCTAATCCACCACTATAACATTGTTCACCAGATGGATTCATTGCTACGCATAATACAGGACCGCTAAAATAAGATAGATGACTTGTTGTATTGTAGGACTATTAGGAGGGACCTGAGTAGGTGCCGGACATTTGTAACGAAAGTTTTTTGTCCGAGATACTGTAAACTTTATTTTAAATTTCACGTTCGAGGTTGTGTAAACTCTGTTTTTTGCACAGTTACTCAGTAATTACCTTGTTACTGTTCTTTTAAATTTTTGGGGGGGTATGCATGGTCACGCCAAAAATGCTAAAAGTGATTTGAATCAAGAGATACTTTGCTGACCGTCGATTCATATAATAAGCTCTTTAGAAAAAAAAATTTGAACCG